TGCTCCCTGAAAACACGCTAATAATTGTGGTTTCGCACTTTCGCGGTAAGTAATCTATTAATAGATATGTTAATAATTTCAATTTAACGACTGTATAATAATCACGACAGAAGGGAAAGGGCTAAAAAAGGCAAGACCGAAATTTGATATCGAATTTTGCTTATATTCTTTCAAATATTAGGTGGCTCTTAAAACAGCCGTTTTATTATCTTTTTAATTTTCTTCATTTTCTTTCTACTTTCCACTGATCCATCAGAGCTTTACAGTATTTCAATTTGTCCATCAGCAGTTTCGAAGTTGGATCTTTTAACAAGGTTTTCGTTGTCAGCAGTGTACCATTCTTATGAACGTGTTGCCACTCGATGTTGTTCAGATGCTGGTCTGTTCATGCAGTAACTTGGTTTCCATGACTGGTAAGACGTCTAAGTATTTGTTCATGAGTTCCATGTTTTGGGGTGAAGCCCGTAAATCTTTTCTTGCCTTATCAAACTGCAACACATCCTCGGTCAGTCCCAAAATATATCCTAATTTTTGTCCTTGTTTTGTCTGTTTCATATTATCTCCTAGAAATAAACAAGACCAAATGTGTTTAATTAAAGTAGGCAAAGAAATATTCACACCCAATTATTGAATTGAAATGGCTATTTAACTTACGGCTATTTGTGGATAATAGAACAATACAAATATTGGTACAAGTACCTTTATCCCTATATTTTGGTTTCATAGTGTTTGCTTCAGAATTTGAACCAGTATCATTAGCTTCACCCTGATGATCATTCTCAAAACAAACAACATTATCTTCAGAAACCTCAACTAACCTTACATTATATTCAACATCAACTGCTAGCTCACCAGTTTGAACAATATCATCACAACCAACCACATCATCACCACCTGCAACCACAGCATCACAACTGACTACTACATCACATCCAGCTACACTCTCATCAACAACACCAACATCTTCACTTTCTGGCGTACAACCTTGACCAACAATGGCCCTCCCTGCACATCCAACCATACCTTCCCTCTCCTGGTTTGTATCCATAAATACCATGTTACCCTCGGCATTTTCAACCTGAAGTACCTTGACTGGCATTTCTATTTTTTTCTTTAAGTATGTTTCCCAGCAGTGCTTTAAGTAAGCTTCCTCTTTTTTAAAGTTGCTAGGGCGGAAATGGTGCAAGGTCGGTCCTTGAGGAACTGCTTCAGGTTTTCCCTTGCATCAAAAAATTCAATGTCACCATTGTTGCATGTTCTCCACCAAATTCCTTCACCTGCTAATAAGAAATCGCAGATCCTTTCAAGATAAGCTTGCCAAGGTCTGTTTAGGAATAACAGTTTTTCCAAAATTTGGAAGAGAAGATGCAAGTTTGGAAACATGTGCTTCTTGTGTGTCAGAGGTTGATGGTTGTTCAGCTTTCAATTCTTTTTCAGCCTGGACTCGGGTAAAGACGTTGCCAATGATGTGCTCAGGATGGTTAGAAGATGTCATTCGGGTTATGTTGTTGATGCTATTGAATACTTGTTCCTGTTCTTCGGTGTTTGCAGATCGACCACTTATCAGTCTGTTCTGGATTGGTGCATGTGCTGTAATGTTGTGGAAGTAGTTACCGTAAAACTTTCGTGTTGACATTTGCTTCAGGGAAAACCCGATAACTGACCTGCACAACATTGTGCGATGCCAGGTAAGGTTATGAAATCTCAGAACTGATCGTGGTGTTCTGTGCTCTTCTGAGTTGTAGGCTACTTCGTGAATTTGAACAAGGGTGTCAAGCAACAATTGAACCTTTGGATTAACAGAGCCTCTAATCTGATTTGAAACAACAATCAAAGCACAGCGGTAATCAATGGTTTGCTTTGTGTCTTTCCCCTCAATGCACAATTCAAGAATAGCCTTCAACTTAGAAGCTTCATTGGTTGGCAGATGGTCTGGTAGCTCACAAAATAGATTTTCGATGTGCTTCCCAATGTCATGGAGGGGTTCAAAACCTAGAAGCTCATAACCGGCACAGTTAATTGACTCTAAGGTTTTGTTGGGACTGGTGAAAAGTAGGGCTGGTACTCTTTGAACTCCATGCAGCTCATCCTTCAAGAGATCCTCTATTTTTTTATTTTTTTCTCCTTCGTAGATAGATCTGGCATTCAACTCCCTGATCAAGTTGGGTTTTGTTAATCCATGGAAAGGTTTATTTGACTTTGCCAAAGAATTTGCTTTACCATGTGCACCTTTAAACACCAACTGTTGTCGATCCTCCAACGATACATGTGGGCAACGAAACACATAATCAAGTTCATGCACCCGATGAGCATTGGCACCACACACGGCACAGTAGAAATTCCCACCCTTCTGTTGGCCAGCTTCATATTGCCGAGAAGGACTGTCACCATGGAAAAACCTCATCTTGTCTGCAACAGGTATACCAGTGGTTGTAGTAGTGGGGTCCGAGAGTTCCTCTAAATGGTCACATCTGGTCTCAATGTAACACAATTGATCTTCATCACAGGATGAGGACCTTGCTACAATGTACAGACTTGGTGCTTCAACTAATGACTGGATATTTACCTTTTTCCCAGTGATGCCTTCATATTCACTGTTGGTGTAGAATGTGGCTTGGTCATATAAGCAAGTTGCCATAAAGACAAGGTGAGAATGGTTCGCTACTGTAGATAGGTCATGCCATACCAGTAGATGCCGTGTTCTTTCCATTACCTTTAGCTGCTCTCTCATCTCTGTTTCATCCTCACCCTCTTTCCTCTCATTTGGCATTGTCAACCTGTTCTCAACTTCTGTCACACTCATGCTATCCATATCTTTTTCATCATTAATTCGCATATATTTCTCCAACTCGTGTCGCTTTCTTGTCCTGATCTCAACCAGTGGGCATTTGCATCCTTCCACAAAAAAGGAAGACTTCTCGATTGAGCCATCCTCTTTGAGCACTAGCTTCTCATACTAAACAAGAATGAAAGATTATTTGATTTTAATTCAAACGAGCTTGTGAACTGGTAAAATGTAGACAGTTTAAATCTACTGTGAACCTTTACTACTTTATTAACATTTACAGTGCTAGATTTTCTACTTCAATACCAGTATTTAGAAATACGAATCACAAAAACTATTGCAATTACAGTGTTAGTAATAATGCAAATTGATGTCCTCTAAACTAATTTCCTTATACCCGGTATTAATTATTACTACTGTACATAAATCTGACTACTGGGACAGTATATTTGAATTGATTTTCCGTGATATATTAATATAATTTTAATATTTTTTAAAAAGTTTCCAGTTATTTAAAATGTCTAAAACCTGATAATTTTATATAATTGAGATTTAATTACCTTTCTTGGCACTATTAGCTCCCCAACATTTATTTCGCCTGACAAAACCTTTTCTTGCAATTTCTTCAGCACTTTTCCATTGGTTTCAGGACATGGAACAGTGTTTTCACCACCTGCACCTCTTCTTAATTTTTTTCTTATATTGCCCTCATTACATTCTCTCCTTTTCTTAAATCTTTCCACATTAACTCCTTCCGACTTCAACCACTCCATAGCAATTTGACGACCGTTTTGAGCTAACTCTCCAGTTTGGTTTTTTATTTGGAATCGTCTTGCTAACTCAGACCAGTTGACCAAAGTGTCATCTCCATAAGTAGTAACTTCATCTTTCATCCCTTGCTTATCCCATTGTTGTTTCTGCTCCCTTGTGCATTCAGCTGCCTCTTCTTTACTCTCAAAACACATTGTTAATCTTTGTCTTCCTGCTAATGATTGTCGATTCCCAAAGCATCTATTAAATACAATTATATTTCATTATCACTAATGATATCTCACTAGCTACTCCAGCTGGATAGTTTTACCTCACTATAGTTACCCCGGCTCACAGGCTGGGTATGATATCTCACTAGATATCTTGGCTGTATATTTTTACAGGATTAGGTACCCCAGCTGGGTATGATACTCGCTATATCTATACCCTGGCTGGATATTTTTACCTCTGAGTCACTTTAGTTACCCCGGCTGGGTATCTAGCTACCCTTGGCTGGGTATGATATCTAGCTGCCTGGCTAGGTATGATATCTAGCTACCCCGGCTGCGTATCATATCTACTTACCCCGGCTGGGTATTATATATATCTGGTTACCCCAGCTTGGTATGAGATCTAGCTACCCCAGCTGGATAGTTTTACATGACCAGTTGCAACGGCTGTGTATGATATCTGGGTATGATATGGCTGTAACCTCACCCAGTTATCTCGGATGAATATGGTGTCTCACTGGCTACCCCAGCTTCTTGGTTTACCTAGTGTATATATGCATTAGTCATCCCAGCTACCCATGTGATTATTTTTAAATACCTGATAAAAGATGTATTTTCCCATTGTGTTTCTACTGCTTGCTTGAATTTTCTATAATTCTTACTGTTCGTTTTTTTTTCAGCTTTAGACTTCTTCTCAATATTGAGATCTTTTACTTTGGTCAATGCTTTAACAAGGGAATGGCCAGTAATCTTTTCAAACATGGGGTTCACCTGGTCGTATAGACTTTGCAGTCTCACCTGCTTCACGGAGAGTGGTACTCCCTGGTTGACTTGGCAGTTGGACTTTAATGGCTTTGTTTGCGACTTTGGGATTGTTCTCCTTCATTAAACCGGTGAATCTCTTGCATTTGGTAGGAAATAAAACTTGTATGTGACTGTATTTCAGCTGACATTGCTTACAATTTTGGAATGTATGTTTAGCTTGCATCGCCGGGGAAAGTTTATTCCAAGCTTCGATGTTGAACATCGCCGTGTATTGATTGCGCTCTGCGATCTTTCTGTGATTCCATCGACTAAACTTCTCACGAAGTGGTGGAAAAATTGACTGAAAGCGCTTGAAGTCAATGGCAAAATTCTCCTTGTAACATTGGAATTGACAGTAAAGCAATCATATCTCTCTCGCAGCAAGCGCACAAGATAATTATTTTGTGTCTCGTTCTCTTCGCACTTTAGATTTTCATCTTGTGTCTACTTGCGCTGACACTTGCCAAGCAACTCCTCACGCAAAGCCGCACGTCAAAGGATGAAGGAACATGGAGAAACGTCTTGCCTTAAATGCGGTGAGATAATAAAAGTACCAGCTGTATATAAAGTGAAGAAAATAGACTCAATTTTAGCGAGCGAAGGATTGCATTCTTTACAGCTGTAGAAAGTTTTGTGATTTGCGCCAAAATTTGAAACTTGCGGATATGCGTCACTGATCTTGTGATAACTCGATAAGCCACTTAAATGTATATACATTTTTGTCTGTATTTGTCGCTGAATAATATGTTGAAACGTTCTTATACTTTTAGTGAATATGTGATAACACAGAAGTGCTTTTAATTGTATTACAGAAACAAATAATATATGCACACTTATATTTTGTGTAATATTGTCTGTCATTGGTATAATTGTGGTATTTGGAGCACGCTAATTTATTGTTAGAATACAAAAAATGGCTAAGAGAGATAAAAACCAAATATAAACTTGCTTCTGACTTTGTCCACCATGTTGTTAAACAAATCACCATGGAAATAACAATATTATCGTGTTTAGCCGCTGCATCCATGCCGACAGTGGCGCTGGCGCGATTTCATGATGGCGACGGATATTATTTATATCATGCGAAGAACATGTTCGGCTTGCAGCAGGGTATTTCTAAAGTATTCCTATTGCATTATCAACTAAAAACATTGACAGGGGATCAAAGTTTCTTAGGAATATATGAAAAGCATACATTTATGAAAAGAATACCATTTAATGTGTCAATTATACGTCCTATAGTGCTAACCATCTTATTATAAACTCGTAAAACAATGAAACGAGTCATGAATGTCAACTTTCTGAGTTTAACTTATAAACATTAGTATCAGGAGTGGCTGATTATCACAATTTTGCATTATCTTGAGCATGAATTAAGCTGCTGCAGAGCCAAAGAAGCCATTTTACATGTTATTATCCAAGATATATGTCACATGATCATTGCCATGACAAGTAAAGGTCGCTTAACTTCAAGCCCCTGTCTTAACAAATGTTATAATGCTTGAATGGTAACAATTGAAGGCTTCACTAATTTTTTACAAATTTTAATATATTTTCTTGAATTTACAATCTTGGGCCTAGCCATTAATATAGCTGAGCTATCAATATGTGCCTGATGCTTCAATATTCTAGAATACAAAACAATTACCTTTAACAAAGTGTGGATTATATAACTATTTGCTTGGATCTGACAAAAATCACAAATTTCCAACCAAGTGATAGTGCAGTTGCTGTTTTAAATTTTGGTCTGGTACCACAATTTAACTTGTAAAGTGACTGTGTTGCTTATCACAGCAAAGCTGAGAGAATGTTTTGTGTTCCTTTTCTCACTTTTATATTTTTTATAAACATCTAGTACTAATCAAATAATATACTTTTTATTTATTTGCTCGGTCAAAATTTCGCGCAGAATTAACAATCTGAGCCGAAATAACGCTTACCGAGACCTTGATAATTTTGCATATTGCAAAAACCGAATTCAATAATTGTTTTATTATACATTTGTTTAACATTTGTTTGTGTTAAATAGATACCGCTTGCTAATCATTGCAGGCTCATTTGCAGATAACTCAGTTATTTGCTAGCAGATAACTGAATTTTCTGTAGGTTGCATGATTTAACTGTATAAGCTCTTAGCCAATCAAATTGCTTTTACCAACTACAATGTATAATCATAATAAAATTTATCGGCCAGTTAGTGTTTTTTTGTTCGGCAAATAGCCGACTGTTATAATCACACTGTCTGCCTTAACACAAATATACAGACAGCAAGAGTCTATACTTGTTTATATTGTTTAATTTAACTCAAGAGTGAAGCAATGTACATATAATACACTGTATTATATATAGATCCTGTTTATCATCATGGACAAATATCAATGAAAGTGTAAAATAGTCAATAGTCAAGTGATGTTCTGTGCAACCAAAATTGACATAGTGCTGATTAAAATTCTTGCACTTTTCCATATTATAACAGGTTTTCAAACTGTCCTTCTGTTGCTGTCATTTCATAATCCACAATAAATGCAATTTTCAATACAAAGTATATCACCAAGTGAAACGTCTTAGTGAAACAAAGAATTATGAAATTATCATCATTGAAACAAATGCCTGTAAAATGGGAATGCATTGGTGATTGGTATAACTTCGATGTTTGCATCATTTATATTTTGTGACCAATGAATACATCAAAATGCAGCACATACTGTGACAGTGGCAAATATTTCAATCAAAGTCAGTGAACAAAAACATGAAACAGAACAAATACGGTAGTGCAGTTTGACCCAATCTAAATATGAATTATAAACAACCCATCGCACTAAATAATGTCAAATGACCATGCTTGTTCCTGCCTCATAATGTTTAGAAATTTTTCAGCAAGAGCCAAATACGATTCATAAGTTGACGGCAGCTCTATCAATGGCACACATTACGGGCTGTTCGTCACGTCGTTCAAAACCATTCAGAGACGTGAACGTAACACAAATTGAATCACATATGATGATGTCACTTCCTGTGGAGAAATGCGAAAACTTTGACGGTACACTTCCTTCCCGGGACTTGACAAATCGCTTTAGATGGTCTAGATTGTTCCGCATCATTGGAAGGCTCAGCTTGAAATAACCTTATAATTTTCTTTGCTGTTGGGGACTTGCTCTTGTAGAAGTCTTTGAGACTCTCAAAGGTCTGGAAATCTGAGTGTTGCTGCAGTGTACGTAGTAGGGGAGCCCAACAGTTGCTTATATACCTAGGTTTCTGTATCAGCTCTTGGTGTGCCAATTCATAAATCACTTCTTGGATGTTTTCTCTTGACACTGCTCTAAAGCATTTAAAAGAGGACATAAAGTCGGTTACTTCCTTATTGTCTTTATCAAAACTGTCACCAAAACACTCCTCCAAAACCTCTTGGTCTTCAGCTGGAATGTATTCTTTGAAGGATGCAAGCAGAAATTCCAAAGTGATACTTTCTTCACCGAACAAGCATGATGCAATGAACAATAAAGAAAGTTGAAGTGGATAATATGTATATACCATAAACAAGGATGCGGGCAATTGCTTCCCATTCACGCTTCTGCATGTCATGCCTGATGAATGGCGTTTTCTCCCTCCTTCCTACAGCTACGGAAATAAAACACTCCTGCCGAAAGTGAGTTGAAACGTCCAGTATGACACCTTTGCCTTTTCCTAATTCAGGTACACCACATGGATCAATCACAACCACATCAAGGTTGCAGTTTAGAATATTAGGATCTGTGAATAGGTTAATTAGATCCTTACAGATTGTACAACGATGCACGGTGACTATCTTGGGAAGCTCAGGAGTGTACATTGATATTAGATGAAAATCATCATCTAAAAAAACATGAAGCCAGAAGATTTGGTACTAGACATTTTAAAATGAGAGTGCTTAAGGTGGTCTTATACAAAAAAATTTCAAGATTTGCCAATTTTACAAAAATACAAAAACATGTTTATTACACTGTTCTTCATAACATCCGCTGGTTTTAAACCATGAAAGTATATCAAAACGCGAGAAATCCGGTTTAATCTACACCAGTCAGGGTAAAACCATGATTTTACCCAGAGCATATAATGGTATGCAATTGGTTTACTCTATTGTGTCCCTTTTTAATGGCATTGTTCTATTTAAGTTATTCTAATGCATGCAAAACCTTTAAAGTCAGTTTTCTTGAAGAGCTTCTCACGCGCTTTCAAAAATTCTCCTGAATTTAGTACTGAATCAATTCGCCTAAAATTTTTAGTGTTTATACATCATTGAACGAACCAAGATTTGAACCTAAAAACACTTACGCACAGGGATTATATCCGGCGAAAAGAACGCTTTATTGGAGCCTTTTTATCGTATGCTTATGGAAAAGATAACTATGGAGGTTTTAAACTTTAAACTCTGGTTTTTTTAGGTTCAAATCACAGACCAACCTTTTAGGTGCCGAATAAAACTTTGTTTGAGATTCCCTGTAGTTTCGTTCGGTTTGAATCTTTTTTGGCGCAAGCCCTATATTTTACCCTACCGGCAGCCATTTCTAAGTTACTATGGCAAAACAAAATGTAAAAGTAACTGATTCTGTATCAGTCAAACGTCCTCAATCATATTTGACTTAAATATGATTGAAAAATAGTTAAACAAAAAAAATTGTTTTTAGTGTATAAGACCACCTTAATAAAGTAAAAAATAAAGTAGGATACATTTAGACAGCTTAAAAGACAGATTTTCTGGGGGAATGAGCCCCCAGATAGAATTTCATCATCAAATGCCTCGATTATCACTCGTTCCACTTCAATCATTGACTGACTTTTGGTAAATCTGCAGCCAAAAATAACATGCCCCCTTTCGTCTAGAGCTAAACAAGTTCCTTGCCGGGGTACCACATCGTCACCTGGGCCACTTAGCAAAACCAAAATCTCACATAAATTTGTTGTTCCCCTTTCGTTTTCCTTCTCTACGAGCAGAGGGCGAAGGACGCTGGCCCGGAAAATATTGCCTGACTGAATATGGTCTGTATCGACTAGTCGACCATTCGTTCACAGAACTTGAAACTGGCGGTCCGTTTGAGTTTGTTTCTCCGCCAGTAGTTCTGCTGGTATTATTGCTTGTAAAAGTATGTCTTACCTCTGACTCGACTGTGTTGGCTTGATTTGGTCGTGGTGATATTGCATTCGATAATGCGTTTATCCTTGAAAAAAGCTGCCTTATAATATCATTTCCTTCAAGATTTGATTGTTCACGATTACCGTCCCGACTGGCTTCTGTCATATTTTAATATATAAATATTTAAATGATTTCTTTTGCAATATAAAAAGCTAACAATACCAAAGCACATGGCCGGCAACAGACTGTCGAAGTGTAAATATATTCCATACGCGACAATTACACGACGGCACACAATGGCAAGTTCCGATCAGATACCGCTTACCCAACAAACAGGCAGAAATCTCGACCATTGTATACATTTCTCAACTATTGCCTAAACATTTTCTCGAGTATCGTACACCTTTTTGAATTCTTGTCTATTTTATACACTACTCGACTATTGCTTACACTATTCTTGACTATAGTTTACATTTCTCGACTATCGCTTACACCAATCTGGAGTATAGTATACACTTCTCATCTATTGTATACAGTTCTAGACTATCGCTTACATTTCTCGATACACTTTTGTCCAGTTTAGCTTGCCATAATCGAACAGGCAAACATGGACCAAAATCCTTTGATATCAATTCACACATTGTTCTTGGTTGTCTCCATGCAGGAATTGGACAAACACACATAAACAATCTGCTGGCAACCACCAACATCCCTTGGTTGACCAATAACACATTTACACATCGGGAACGAGAAGTTAGACTTGCCGTAGAGAAAGTTGCTACAAAGAGTTGCAAACAAGTTATAAATGATGAAAATATTATTGCCCTCAATAATGGTATTCAATCCGATGAGAACAAAGTACTACCAGTTGCATGCTCATTTGATATGGGGTGGCAAAAGAGAGGGAAAGGGCACAATTCTAACACTGGTCAGGCTGCAGTCATGAGTATGACATCTGGGAAAGTAATGGATTATACAACCCGGGTGAAAACATGCAGATGTTGTGACTATGCGAAGGCAAAAAACATAGCAGCCAAGCCCCATGATTGTCGAAAAAAAACATTCAGCATCAGCTAAGGCAATGGAGCATGATTCAGCTGTAGAAATGTTTAACAATGCTTTAAAAGAGAATATAAAATTTTCAACATACACTGGTGATGATGATTCTACCACCGAGGCTCGTATAAGGCAGAAAGTTTCATATGGTGTTGAAAAACTGAGTGATGTTGTACACACACAAGGTCATTAGCAACCAGACTTTATAACTTGAGTCAAATTTCAAAATAGTTCGGTCTTATCACAGAAAGTTATTAATTATTTAGTTAAATATTTTTCTTATGGCATCGCTCAAAACAAGGGGAATTCCAAGAAAATTCAAAGTGTAATAAAAAATGTTGTACCACATGCATTTGGAAAACATATTGTGACACGACCTGGTGTCATTACAAGGAGGACCCCGGAAAATACAAGCACAAATCTCTTCCTTATGATAAGTAAGGATCTATACGGTGACAAGTTGGAAGCTGCCCTACAGCAAATATTTAATGAATACAGTACAGATATTGTAGCAGAAAAGTTAGCCCCTCTAACCAACTCACAACAAAATGAATCGTTAAATGGTGTCATTGGCTCAAAGAACCCAAAAATACGGTTTTATGGAGGGAGTGAAACTACCAATTTTCTTGCTGCCTGTGGGGTTGCACAAACCAACCTAAGGTACGGCTATATCAACAAAACCTTGCAAGCTTTAAATATCGAGCCTGGAAGATTTTGTGAACAATTTAATGAAAGGATGACCCAGAAACTAAATCATGATAAATCTAGAAAGTCAACTGTAGATTTTAAACGTAGAAGGTCACACATGCAGTCTCAAGCTTGAGACTGCATGTGTGACCTATATTTGATAATGTTACAAATATGTTGACTGCATATTTGATGTTACAAATTTGCATAAAATTGTCTATCAAATATTATTTGGTTAACCAATCGATATATAGTTTTATTGTGGCCAAAAGAACGAATAAAAAACATAATTGATGGATAACCAATTTATTCATTCGTCTTAGAAAGTATGTCCTTTTTCATGTATACAATGTCTTGCACGAACCCAAGGCCAAACTCTTTGATTTTTTGTTAATCGAGCATATTAGAAAGGCGAACGAAGACCAATTCTATAATACAAACTCCCAAAGGATGTCAAATATGATTCTTATTTCGCTTCCGAAGAAACACGAAAGGCTAACTTATACTAGGATATTACTCGAAATGCTAAAATTGAAATTGTTAATTTTTGTGGAAAAAGGCAATTGTTTTCATATAAATTTGATCAGCCATGTTTCTCGATTTTTTACTCATTTTTAAAGCGTGCGCTATATTCTAACATATGTATCTCGCGTAATATTAAATGGAATTTTTAGGGCTGGATATCAAAATCTAAGTTAGCCTTTCCTGAATACAATAAAATTTATTTGAGTGTAGTAGCTTTTATAGTTTTTATGTTACATGAAATCAAACAGCACAAGTTTTTTTGGGACACCTGTTACAGTATAACTTAATTTTAACCATATTCATATGGTCATTAAACCAGTCGCAATCTTATCACACAAATCTGATTCTTGTACTACGTGGTAGTTCATTATTTGATGTGCGGGAATACTATTGTTTGACAAAATTGACTTGGCAAGCTCATTAGCCATCTTTGCCTTAACCCAACTTTGCCTTAACCCAGCTTTGACATACCGGTATGTTGTAAGCCATACATAACCCTGTTAACTCTTGCTTGTTATAAACGCTTACAAAACCTTTCTTCTGGAATTGGGAAAGAAATGCAAGTAACCTTGCACGAGATGTTTTTTTTGGCAGATGCATCTTGCTCTATGTAGGCTAAATAGACCTTTTGTTTTTTTTTGTTTGCCTTTTCCTTCCTTTGCATGATAGCATGTCTATGTGCAGCTGCCCTTTTAATCTTGAGTTTGCGGCAAAAATCTTTAATGAACTGTCCAAATCCCATCCTAACATATTTGGTAATGATTTCTTTAACCATTTCTTGAACCAATTTCTATAAAAAACACAGTATTTCACACAATGTGACCCAATTCAACAAAATAAAAACGGGCAGACGGATAATAGTATGATGAAAACGATGCTGTACATGAGTAGTTTTCTTGCATACTTTGGTCAAATGCACATAAACTACAGGGGCCGGTTGTTCAAAGTATGATTAGCGATAACCCTGGGTTAAAATTTAACTTGCTGTTTGGGTATGTGCGTTTCTATGCATACATAATAACACAACTATTGATCCTGACAAGATTTATGGAAACTTTTCAAAGTTATAAACTATTAAGTTTTCATTAACTCTGGATTAAGCTAACAGCTTTCGAACAACTCCCCCCAGGATATTTATAAATAATCTTGATAGTATTAATTACTATTTTACATGTAAATCTATACATGCCTCTGAATTAGCGGGAAATCAGGTCGGCAAATTTAAGTTTTAATAAAATGTGCCAGTAGTAATAATGCCGACACTTACTTTGATTAGAAACCAGTAATTACCGTATTGTAATTTATTAAGTATATTTGCAAGTTGCAGTTAATTGAAAAGGCTTTGATTTCAAACTAAAATAAGTAAAGATTTTGTTCTAATTAGATTGCTTATGGCATTGATTGGTGACATGAAAAATTCAATGGTCATACATAAACGTAGTACGTTTTGCTATGAAAATCCCTTCGGATTATTGATATTGTGATTATCCCTTCGGATTATTTTACTCTAAGTTTGCATCGGAAAAGTATAATTGCAGGTCGTCGATTTTTTTCCGTCCTAACATGACGATAGTTGGGTAATTGGCTCGGCATTTGCCGATTGCCGACCTGAATTCAGAGGCCTGCTATTATCTTTCTAACTCCTTTGTAGGAGTTCGGTGTTTTACAGTATCTCTCTTTGGAAAATGCTTGACAATATTAGCTATTAAAATTGTTGTCGATACCCACCTTGTGTCTCCAGCATTCTCCATGTTGAAAAACAGGCTGAATTTATCCTTCAAACTTCATCATCGCTGATCTTAATCAGTGCGGCTTCCACCATTTGCCCTTGTTCATGGAGCAGATGGTACTGGTTGATTTGATCAACTCTTTGCTGTTCCAATAGCAGAAAGAACACATGGGCTGCATCACTGATATGGAGCAATCCTCGGCAACAGAATTGTCTTGACTCCATAACATTCAATGTTCCACTAGTTTCCATCTCATTCTCAAGCGAGTCGAATGGAACAATTCTATCATTTTCCAACATTTCCATTTTGCAAAGTGACAGTAGAAAACTTATTGTCCTTTAAATACCTACAAGTAGTTTCAAGGACCTTCCAAACCACCCATCCACCAATATACCTTATTTTTCCCTTTCCAATATCATCCATTTCTTCAACCTTAAATGGAACAGGTTCTGACAGTTCAACTCTCCTTATTCATCCAGCAACTTTGTTGAGGAACAGTTCCAAGATGATGTGCATGCCACACAGCATAACTTTAATCCTGCTAATTTTTGGTGCACATTTTGTCAAATGTGCAGTACACAAAAAAAGTATAATTCCATAGAGGCCCACCAGTAATCACAAACACAGGAAAATATTAATATTCATGAACAGTGGTGCTTGAGATATTGACTGTTTAATCAAAGAATATCTTTTCTTTAATATTTTCCATAACAAAAATCGAAGTGTATTAAGAAGTACGTTCGAAGCAGAACCAGGTGGCCAAAACCGGATTTTGTCCATCGTATTAAAGTCGGGAAATGTTACCGCACTCGTGTGCTCAAACATATCGAGCAAAATAATTTCAATACTTATAAAATTATATAAAAATATATACAGGGTGTCTAAAAAACGCTGTGGAAGTTCAACAGGCTGTTGTGCATCACAAACTTAACTAAACAATTCAATTTTTACATAAGGCAAAAGAGCTATCATGTAGCTTTTCTATGATATATTTCTTAAACCGTTACGATGAGAAATCACATTCTTCCACCGTTGGGAATTGAAAATACATTAATTATGCAAAGTTAATCAATCCAAAAGCATGGCGAATCTGCTGCAAGGTACTTGTTTCGTAAAACGTTTTGATTACGAATGTCCTCTGTTCAGAGGTTAATTGAACTATGTTTAATGCAAAAATGGACATTCTTATGGTCTCACTAAAACAAAGATTGACAAGTTGAGCTTATTTTAGATAATTTAACATTCAATTTTGATTCCCTTTTGGGAATTGTCTATGTTTCGTTTTCGAAGCAATTCCCAACAGTGGAAGAATGTGGTTTTGACTGGCAATTTTTATTTGACGAGTATGTGGCCATTTCTTATCGTTACAATTTATCATTGAAAAGCTAAACAACTGTTCTTTCGTCCTATGTAAAAATTGAATTGTTTAGCCAGGTTTATGATGCATGACAGCTTGTTGAATTTCCATAGCGTTTTTTTAGACACCCTGTACAGCATTTCGATATTATTAAATACTTGTGTTAATATTTTACATGAAATAGAAAACAATTGCTTGCAATTGCCCTTCATTTCCACCGTATAGGGCAATGGCCCCGCATATTGGGTAAAAATTACATTCAAACAGGGGCATAGCCAGGATTTTTTATCAAGGGGGGGCCCAAAGAATCTGGGGGGGGGCACTTTTTTCAGCTATGATGGGACATATGATAATCAAGGGCAGATCTAGGCTTAAATCTGACAGTATTATACTCCTATGTCTCGTGTAACTAGGGGGTTTGGAGGCATGCCCCACCTGGAAATTTTTTGAAATTTGAACCCTGGGAAGGTCATCTCCTATGTTGGGAGTATTGGATTCTGACCTAAAATTCGGCCTTAAAAAAACAAGGCCAAATTTTAGACAAAAACTGAGAAATGTTTGATCACACCTTGTTCTCCAGTGAATAATGCAACATCAGACGACAAATTACTTTAATGACATAGATATATATACGAGCAATCTCACACTTTGTACCCTGTTGTACTTTACAGTACAGTACAGTACAAAACCACTGTCCCTCTTTTACACATCTCCCACCATTATGGAGAAAATAAATGTGCCAATTTTGTACATTATACATTGTAATTTTCCCAGAGGGGGACCAGTTTTTTGCCGGGAGGGGGGCCTTCTAGCTATGCCTCTGCATTCAAAGTCCCTACAAGTCAAAGTCGTCAAATTGCCCCAACACGCCCTGGGGTCCCCAAGGTGGGGGAGGCCGACACATATTAACTTGGAGATGTAAAAATTAGAGAAAGTGTATGCCTAAAGGATTTTAGGAGCAAATTTCCAGCTTGTTTACAAACAGAAATATTTACCAAAATCCTCCATCTCCATAAGGTTTTATTTTCAAACGTTTTTAAACAAATTAATATTCAAAGTTGTAATGTGAAAGTATGGAGATAAAATCAACACCCAAATAATTGAATGTTTCAACAGACGAAGCCAAAATATTTTGAACAAATTTTTTTTATATAAAAAAATATCACAATGACATACATACTTTCAGAAAGAAGAGCAAGAAAAAGAATGTTTCTTGTCTGGACGTACATTCTTGCCACTACCAGGTGATGTGTTTGGAACAAATTCAATAGAAAAAGTTTCCCCTGATTTTCTTTTTTGGACAAACTTCTCTGCATGGTCATACTGCAGGAAATGTAATAGTGTTTCTGCAAACATTTTGCCACCAAACCTTACTAAACGTCCTCGAAAATCTTGTATCAAAGTGTATATGTTCTGAAACATGATACATAGTACACCTCTACAAAAAGGAATTATTGGCATACCAATAAAGATTTTATTGCTTCCTGCATCTAGTTTTAGAGATAGGGAGCTATTGTAATGGGACACATGGGTATTAGCCCCGATAATTTGTAGTCACATGAATGTAATGCGCAGGAAGCGGATAGGAGTGGTGATATAATCTACAGCAGTATGTGCATCAGTTCATTCTACTCTTCAATCTGGTTGCGCAAGGTCAACTCTCTGGCTGAAGTCAATTGATATAAATAATCGATAAGGTATTCCTATTAATTTTTCCTTCTCCGATATTTTTATCATGTCAAGTTGTGTCCCAAGTATTTTAATTCTCGGTCATTCTTTTGTCCATCGTTTGCGAGATGATTTAGATGCGCACTTTGATACACGTGCGGCTTCTAATTTTCATCTCCCAGAATCGGGCTATATTAATTTGTTAGGGACGGGTGGCCGAACCGTCGAAAAGGTCGTTAAATACGATTTGCAATCGGTGCATAAGTATAAGCCCGATATTGTAATCCTGGAGCTTGGGACTAACGATTTGTCAACCCACGCCCCCGAGGTGGTGGGGTCTAAACTCGACGACCTTGTGCATGCTTTACGGCACACATACAACGTTCGGGTTGTTGGGGTGTGCCAGGTTATAAACCGCAATATTCCTTTTGCTCAAGGACCAGACCTTGGTTTTAATGCCAAGGCCGCTATTTTGCGGCAATATTTGTTTGTGGTCCTTGCCGAGGAAAATGGGATTTTTACTTGGGATCATCGGGAATTTTATCAAACCGATCGTGCATTGCTATCCTCCGATGGCGTGCATTGTGATGCCCAAGGACTGTACTGTTTGTATCGGAGTTATCGTGGGGCTATCTTGAAAGCTCTCAAACTTTTGTAACCCGTGAACCCCGTTTTGTACTGTTGTTTCTGATCAATTTTGCTTTTTGTATTGACAACGCCCTAATTTGTGGAGGGCATCTTTTGTCACACTCTTTGATTATGCAGTATATATCCTCTCAGTACTTGGTGTTGATATATATTATGCTTATAATTGTTATATTATTATGGGCTAGAGCGACATGACTGTTTTCAGATGCCCACGTTGAGATTTCAACATTGGGTTTTTCCTGCACAGGGCATATTCATGATTATCGAGCTGGTTATATATACGTATATAGAATGTGTTTCCCTATAGTAGTCTGTTTCGTCTTTTGTTCAGCTAACGTACATGTATGTAGGTGTCCTCGTACTTGCTTTGTGCCGTGCTGATATTTAATGTTAGGTATATATGACGGGCTGATCCTGTGTTTGGAAAAATGCATGTCTAAGTGGGATAGTGCAATTTATTGTTTTCAGATGCCCACAGTTGAAATCAATATATTGTGGGATGGTGCAGCATGTTGTTTTCAGATTGCCCGTTTTTATATTATTTTGCAGCGCTTTAAACGGATGATCTATTGCGGCTACCTTCGCTGTATGCCATGATTATTCCGCTGCGTTGTTTGTTTGTCAATGTTTAATGTGGTAGATATTGCAGCAATTCTTAAGGATGATCTTTTGCGGCTACCTTCGCTGTATGCCATGATTATTCCACTGCATTGTTTGTTTGTTTGTCAATGTTTAATGTGGTAGATATTGCAGCAATTCTTAAGGATGATCTTTTGTGGCTACCTTCGCTGTATGCCATGATTATTCTGCTGCGTTGTTGTTCATGTTTTCGTGTTACTGCGTATACATTTATAGCTATACAAATATACAACTATATCACGAATCGCTTCACCATGAGACGCAACCAGCAAACTCTGGCCAAACCCAATTCTGCCTGTCTGCGTTCTGACATTTTCCTTTTAGAATGCCCGCAACTCGCCCAAGTACACGTGTCCAGCGCCAAGCTCAAGTAGCAGCAGCACCTAGTGCTTCTTCACGGCGGCGGTGGCGGACAACAGCAGCATCTACAACTGCAACCAGTGCAGCCAGGGTCGAAACATTGCCTGCCATGGCTGCTACACCATCAGTGTCGCCGAACATCACACCGCCTGATCTCTCAGAGGAAGCGATGCAGAGAATTGTCTCGGCTGTGTCACAGGCCGTCATCGCGTCGTTTGTGGCAAGTCAACCAACTCTCCCGGCGCCTCCGTCCATGGAACCAGAACAGATAGAAGTACCTCTAGTTGTAGGGTCCGATAATACTCATAATTTAGCAGATGCTACCACTATGCATGGGCCGGTAGCATCTGCTTTGCATCACATAACAGGTGAGACCAAATTTATTAACGTCTCACCGTCAGCGGGGTCGGGATCCGCCAAATTTTGCTCAATTAGCGTGCCCATCGATGCTAATGTTAGCGCTAAAGTTAAAGCAAAAATATGGGCGCACAAATTTATAGATTTTGGTGTTTTACTGAGCTCAGAGGCAGGTGATACCCGGTATCACTTGTCTGTGAGCTCTCAAGGCGGTTCCTTGCTCCCTGCTTTATCTTTAGAACCGTCACACAAGCCGAAGGCCATTCCCAATATCGAGGCATGGACTTCGGCTTTTCAAATTTTCGTTGGAGTCTACACTGCAAAATTTCCCTTGGAGGCCCCAATACTAATGAAATACGGGGAGGTAGTGCGGGATTTGGCCACACGAGGGGCTGATTGGCGTTTGTATGACACGCAATTTTGTCTCTTGCGGCAAAGCAATCCGGCTGAACTACCTTGGGGTTATAGTCACTGGGAACTTTGGATCCGTGCACAAACTTTCGGTCATGCACGTTTGAGCAAACCCCAATCAAATATGCGCACAAGTTCAAACAATTCGTCCTCGTCGGCAGCTGGACCCTTTGTTCCTAGGGGGTTTTGCCGCAAGTTCCACCGGGGTGCTGAATGTTTAGGGTGTAACTACAAACACAACTGCTTTAAATGTGGTGTTGTTCACCCGGCTATTCGTTGTAATTTTCGTGGCCAAAAGCCCTCCTCTGGCTCAGCCCCAAGTGCCGCCAAGTCCCGTACTGCCAACACCGGTTCTAATTGACAATCTCTACCCGTTATTATGTGGATACGATGTGCGATTGGCATTAAATTTATATAATGGTTTTAAGTTTGGTTTTCCCCTTCATTTTGAAGGATCTTGTATATCAATTTTTGGTCCTAATCTCGTTTCCGCGCAACGGAACCCTGAGATAGTTAGTGCTAGACTCTCGAAAGAATTGGCGGTCGATCGCCTGGCTGGGCCTTTCAACAGTCCACCCTTTCCTAATTTTCGCGTTTCCCCCTTGGGGCTGGTACCTAAAAAAGCCCCTGCAGAATATCGCTTAATCCACCATTTGTCTTTTCCAAGTGGTGAATCTGTTAATGACGGCATTGCTCACAAGCATTCGACTGTACATTATGCTCGTGTTGATGATGCCATCAAAATGATCAAACAATTAGGCCGCGGCTGTTTCCTAGCAAAAACGGATATCAAGAGTGCATTTCGTATTATCCCGTTAAGGCCATCCGATTATGATCTCGTAGGAATGTTTTGGCAAGGGAAGTATTATTATGATCGCGTTATGCCCTTTGGCTGTGCGTCATCTTGTTGCACTTTCGAGATGTTTAGCACTGCTATCGAATGGGTTGCTAAGAAACACTTGCAAATCCCACATCTAATCCACATTCTTGATGATTATCTAATGGCGTCACCTACTTATCACCAATGTCGCATTGACCTTGTCCGCTTCTTATCTCTCTGTAAATATTTAGGCATACCAATCGCACCGGACAAAACTGTTGGCCCACAAACTATTCTCGCCTTTGCTGGCATTGAATTAGATACTTTGCGCATGGAAGCCTGTTTACCAGACGACAAGACCGATAAATGCAAGTCTCTAATATCTGGCTTTCTGCGTCGCAAAAAAGTTACTTTGCGCGAAATACAATCGTTAACTGGTTTACTTAATTTTGCTTGTTCGGTAGTTGTCCCTGGTCGGGCTTTCTTGCGCCGTCTTATTGATTTGACTAAAGGCATCAAAGTTCCCGCACCACTTTATTCGTCTAACTAAATCGGTTAAGGCCGATCTGGTCATCTGGCAGTCCTTTTTGGACGAATTTAATGGCCGATCGTTTTTTCTCAGTGATGTTTGGAATGATTCTTTCAGTTTAAACCTATATACCGATGCTGCCGGTAGTTTGGGCTATGGTGCTGTATTCGGCGATTAGTGGTTTTTCGGTGTGTGGCCCCCCAATTGGAGGCAATTAAACATCGCGATTTTGGAATTTTACCCAATTGTACTCAGCGTACTCGTATGGGGAGATAAGATGCGAAACCAGCGCATCACCTTTTTTACGGATAATGCGGCTTCTCACACTGGGTTGCCATTTGTTCTGCCACCGCAAGCAGGGCAGTGCCTTTATTATTTACCTATCTGTTTATAAAAAACATGATTAACAAATCCCGGATAACAGTTCAGTTCATAATCTAAACCAAAAACTATATACAACTAAAAAAAACCAAAAAACTCTAGTATCCACCAATCTGGGAGGGTGGGTGGGTAACTGCATACGATGTGCAAAAAACTAAAAGATGCCAAAGTCACTTATCACGTGACTTTATACAACTCATGTGACCTAACACAGGGCACCCCAGCATGAGAAACCCGTTTCTCGCTTATTTCGTAAACTCAGACAGCGAGAAACTCAAATTCTCACACTGGGTTGCCATTTGTTCTGCCACCGCAAGTTAAAAGCATAGTGGTTTGACTACCGTTCTTACTATATCGTTCGTACTATATCCTTCATAAGCCTAAGCTCTGTGAAACTCGTAATAGGGTGTTATGTGTCTCTTTAATGTACATGTTCATAGATTTCTCAGATCTCCATCCCCCATGTCGCTGGATCAGACGATCAGGTATACCCCAGGCGGCTGCTTCGGATGTACCACCAGAACGTAAGCTGTGTAAGCCATAAGCAGATGGATTCAAACCAATACTAGATATCTGCATCTTGAATAGTTCCAGAGCTCTGCTGTAACTCAAGGGGGATTTTCTCAGTTGCATTCCATTAGATGTGTGAGAAATCTTTCTGAACAGTTTATCCTGTTGGCTGTGTTTCCCCATTCGTAGAAATTTCTCAAGCAACTTAACTGGACATGATATTTTGCCTGAGCGGGCAACAAGAATCCAAGATCCTTCCCGGTACTGGTCATTCTTCCGCTTGACCAGAAATATTTTCATGTGATCATTTTCCATTGCAATGTCTTGCCTCTCTAACTTAGACAAGTCATCCCATCTCAGAAATGCACTAAATCCCAAAGTGATTAATGTTGCTATCTGCAGCTGTCCCAGATTCCCGTCACCAAACTTAACAATGATAGCTTTCACATGTTTGGCCTCCAGTGGCTGTTTCCTATTCACAGGTTTCAGCCCCACAATTCGCCGACTAGCTTCAATCATCTGCTTAACCAGTGTGTGTTCTGTTGGGGATTTCTTTCCCGCCTTCTTATGTGCCCAAGCAATCGCATATACTGCCGAATGAATAGTGGACATTGTCCTAGCTGTTCGTAAAAGGAATGCCACATACAGAGCTATCTCTTGACCAGTTGCGGGTAGAGAACAGAGATCTTTGCTTTCTGCCCAGGTATGCCAACGTTGGAAGGAATCCTGATATTTACGCACTGTTCGAGGGGCTCGATCACGTAGGAGAATTCCTGGTATGTCACCTGCTAACGAACGCAACTCTGGGTCTTTTAGGCATATACCTTTCCACATTTTTCCTTTTCTCGATTCGGCATTTTTCCTGGATACATGACCTATAATATAGGGAGAGTTGTGTTATGAACTGTTATGTTCTTACCGACTACGCTGAGAAATGCCACTCACAGGCGATCTGACATCTACTGCCCCAACCATGTTCTGAACACCAAAGTGTTTTCGCAGGCCAGCATGCAATACCTCTCACAGGCCATGCTCCATGTGCAATGCTTCTCGCAGGTTAAGTTGCAATACCTCTCACAGGTCATGCTCTATGTTGTAATGCCTCTCACAGGCTAACTCCTCATGCAATGCCTCTCACAGGCTAACTCCTCATGCAATGCCTCTCACAGGCTTACTCCTTATTCAATGCCTCTCACAGGCTAAGAAGTGATCTGTCTCCCAGGCTAATGAGTCTGTGCTGCTCAGTTTTACAAAAAAGGTCGAATGTCGGCATAATCTTTAATCAAGATGGATTGACTGAAACAGATCTTTAGAGCTAATACCCGGTATGATGGTATTCCGAACCCAAATAGGCAACTCTCAGCCACTGCGGGGATAAACATGTCGTCCCTAAGAGGGAGGTCCATCCAGTCAAGGATCCAAGGTTGAGGATAGTGACCATCAGTGGTTAGAAGTGGCCACCAAGGGGCAGAGGACCAAAGGGGAACAATCAAGGTACCATCTTCGCCCCCATACTTCATGTGTTGGAGAACTTTTGGAATAAGATATGGGGGTGGGAAAATCCAGTTAATCTCACCTGACCAACTCACTGTAAATGCGTCCACATGCTCTGTCAATGGATTGAGATATCGACTGCAAAATCTGGGGACTTGTCGTGTGCGAAATGAAGAAAATCTGTCCACTGTGTGTGGTCCCCACAATATGTCCAATGCAGCAAAGTAAGTTGGATTAAGCATATAGTCATCAATGTCTGTTTCACGTGACAGCTGGTCAGCCTCGCTGTTAAATTCTCGTGGAATCCACTCGGCCTGCAAGCGCACACCAAATTGGTGACACAGCTGGTATAGTGCCACTGCTTCATCATGCAGCTCTCGATTTCGGCTACCAATCTGCAGTATTGACTCCACATTCTTGTTATCGGTCCTATGCCGCACATCTTTTCCTTGGATTTCTGGAAGGAAAGATGCTAATAGGAGATGGGTGGCCCGTAATTCCCTCCATGTCGAGCTTTTGAGTTCTTCATCTGGTGACCAATTTCCCTTGGCAATCCTACCACCCAGCTCAACACTGTAGCCTCCCCAGCCGGTATTACTTGCATCAGAGTAGGTGAGGATCTCTGGTTTTGGGTTGGCCAGCCAGATTGGTTGGCCATGACATATTTCAAAGTTGTCCTTCCAGAAGACGATTTCCCTTGTAGCATCCTCATCTAACTTATTATGTTCCCACCAGGTGCTGGCTTGCATGATAA